TCCGCGTACCTCCCTGGGTTCAACCCCGCCATTGCCTCGTCGCTGCGAGACGGGCCAGTGCGGAGTCTGGCGCCTGCATTCGTGGCGCTCGGGCGACGGCTGAAGGAGGAGGGTGGACGTATGCTGTTAATTTGGGTGAGCGAATCGACATCGAGTCCATCCGTGGCGCGCATCATGTGTCTAGCCTGTCCTGACGAACATCTACAGGGTACGCAGGATACGGTGGTGCCGTATCGCAACGCGGCGCGTGTGCAGGCGCTCGTGCCAGGCGCAGAGCTGATCACGATTGAGGGCGGCGGGCACGACATCGTCGTGAGCCACCCAGAGGTCGTCGGAGACGCGCTCGTGCGCTTTTTCCGCGAATAATTGCCGTCCGCGCACGTTATGCGCGCCAGGGGGTGCAGCGCCGTTGCACTCGCATGTTTTCTGGCCGGCCGGGGGCTGGCCGCCGTTCTGCTCGGGCGTCGGCCGTGTGCGCTCGATGTTCCGCGTCTCACTTATTCGTTTTTGTCGTTCGCTGCACATATTAGCTCTCCTTCACGCCTTTGGTGCGCTCGCCCGCCCGTGTTTCGCGTTCTGCACAGTATACACACAAACTATATCGTACATTCTAGCCATGCCAGTCCTCGCTGATCCGGCGTCCTTAGTACTATTGCATCTCACGGACTAGTCGGCATGTACACATCATACATATTAATCTCATGTTGCATCTCCAGCTATAGGATACCTCTTTTTCTTTTTCGGTTTGCTGTGGTTGATTCTCTCGGACCTAGTTTTTCTCGGACCCACGCCCTGGCCACTGGTCCGTGTTGCGTCTGTAATGTGGAAGTACCCGCATCTTAGCGGCATCTCACTGTTACCATCCGGGATTCCGCGATGGGCTCCTTGTGTTCCATGCAATATTGTCGACTTTTGACTGGTATCGTCGCGGTTGGTAGACAGAGTGCGCGCACGGCAGGTTAGGTGCTGGGTCGCTATGCAATAAACGCATCCAAGCAGAACTAACAAAG